ATAGTAACTCAATGAACGTAAGTAGTATGGCTCTGTTACTTGTTGGTTAAATTTAAACGTATGGCATAATTTATAAAATAAACTGTTCATATGTATGTAAATGATTTATTACTTATTTTAATAAACTACTACTCGTATAACCATTTGCACCTAAAACGTATTTTTTCAGGTGTAGCGAGATATACTCACTCATACCTACAAAAGCTCAAAATTGAAATAATGTTTTTTTGTTTATACAAATATTACAAAAATAAAGTACAGAAATAATATAGAACATATTAGTGTAATAGAATATTACCATTGTCGATTTTAACATTAATAATAATTAATATGTATCAAATTTATTATTTTAATTGTTATGTTATTATACCCTATTACCCTTATACCTTATTTTCTAGGTATAGCGGCTGTTACACATAGAAACAGAGTTGGGTGCAACTAAATATAACATTAGTATAAAATTACAATTAAATTATTTTTTTTCTTTTTAAACTCTAACCGTAATCAATCAATTAGTTCATATTATATTATTATGTTTTTATAAATATTTTATTGAAAAATTATAAATTTTTACTTATTTAATAAATGATATGGATAGCAAAATAGTTTTATAATTTTATAAGTAATTTTTATTTTTGTAAAAAACATAACAGCACACAATTACAAAAATAATAATAATTATAACGTAAATGGAATGTTGCATAAACTATTGCTATCAAATGTTTGAAAATAAATAAGATAAAGAATATTTATATAAATCAAAAACCGTTTCGTTTAGGCCTGCTGCAGTTATTACTAGCAGGGCTTATACATATATTTTATTTTACTTGGAATTTTCTTGGCTGTTCGAATATATATGCGAGACGCTGGTGTAAAAGAAAAAAAAAGGCACTTGGAGCTTTTCCGGCCAACGACTTTGCTTACCCCGGGTCTTCTACCATTTACGCATTTTTATCACTCCCTTCCTCGTTTCCCGAGCAGCTCTTGGCGTCCCGAAATTTCCAGAACCTCTTATGTCATACCCACCTCTCTTTGCTCTCTACTAACCATCCATTGGGTTTTTTGGGGTGACAAGACACCCGCTCGTTGCTAAGGAAAGGGGGAGAGCAGTTAATTCTGCGTGTCATTTGCACGCCGCTCGCAATATCTTAAAGGGGAAACCCTCCCGGCATGACCCCTATATATATATATATAACTTGATCTACTATGTCTTGGGAAGAAAAAAAGAAGTGGGAATAGAAAACTCCTCCCCGACAAAAAAATTTCACATCAAAAACACTCCCTGCACTCGTAGTACAGCTATATATATGGAAGAGCTGTAACTCTTTTCAAAGAGGGTTGCCCGTTTGTGTAGAGGTAATCTCATTTGTGGTTTTAAATTACTTTATTTTAATTTCATGGACCATACAAACCATTGTATATTGTGTATAGTAGAAATATTTATGTTTCAAGAACGAGAAATTAATTAAACGTTGGTCGACATTTATGCATTTTACTATGTGTTTTCTTTTATTTACTTTGTATATACCAAGTATACGTAGCATAGAATGTGAAAATGAATAATTTGTATACCTTCACAGATAGGAAATTTATACTATTCGAGTTTAATTCCAGTTTAATAATACAATATATAGCAATAACAATTTCAGAGGTAAATAAATATAATATTTGTTTTAGTAAATTTATGAATATAAAATATTTTGTCCTTGATAGTTGATTATAATGAAATCTCAGAATAATTTTATAAAATACTAGTATACTTCTAAATTTCGGATTAAATATATTGATGTAACTAAGAAAATAAATCTCAAGGTTATTTTATTTTCTTTCTTCTTTTAATAAAAATGAACTATACCTTTATATATGATGCACACTTACAAAATTTATTCATAATTTTTTTGTTTTTTTATAAAAATAATTAAAATAACAATCCAGTCAATACAATAATGACTTCGGCAAACTGTAGTTGAGTAACTTTATTTGTATAAATAATAAAATAAAGTTGTGTGTTTAATTTATTATGAACTTGTTCGAAATGGGAAATATAAATAATTATTATTTCAGTAATGATTCGATTACTTTCTCTAAACATGCAGTGATTCGACTTTGATAAAACAAATGATGTAAAATACGTTCATACATAATGCACAAGATTATGTAAATGCGACAGATTTTAAATTTGTTATTGAAAATATTTTGCTACGCATTTACCTGCTGGTGTAAATAGTACGTAAAACTTTATTAGAATATTGAATACATATTAAATCCTGGTTTAGTTTAAGAAAATTGTAAGAAAAAAAAATCGCATAAACATAACCGACAACGGATGTGTGAAATGTTTAAATCCTTTATAAAGTTATGCGTGTATATATAATATATATACATTATAATATGCGATATACGAATTCAATAATATATTTTATTTATAATACGACTATTGTATTACAACGATACACCTCGAACGTGCTTATATGTGACACTGCACTTTGTCGTACTCGCAAGTACATAATAATATGCGAATAATACGAGTGCGCGCGTGTGCGCGTGTTAGACTTACATCTGTGTATTTGCAATATGCATGGATTAAATCGTATTATTTCGCAAACGGCGATCGGGCAGAATGTCAGTGAGAATACAATAATTGCACGTGACAGGTGTGATGTAAAGAAGAAACACGCATACAAGGACTATGGAGATCGGAGGAGGCGGAACAGGAGGAGAAGGATAAAGAGAAGGAGGAAGATGAAGAAGAAGCCGCAGCTGTGTGTTATGTGGCGTGCGTACCACGTACGTGTACAATATTATGTGTGATGTATTGTGTATATTATATAGGTACGTGAAGCCTTCAACTCGTGGAGTTCAAAAAAAGGACCGCTCGCGCAGCGTGTGAGCTCGTTAAATTAGCGTTGCCGTTTGGGAAACGATATATTTGCCACGTCCCATTGAGCCGACCGGCCCGCGATGACTGTACGCGCTTCGAGCAGGATACAAGTCCCCCGAGGCCTACCGTGCGCATAACACGCATATAATACACGATAACCTACCTAGAGCCTCTAAATCCTTTTTTTTTAGAATCCTCGCCAAGCGGTTTCTCTCTCGTCCTTCCGTAGCGGTACACAACCCTTTTATACGTGCACCGGCGATTTATATTTACGCCACGTCGTCCCTAATCATCATCGTTGCACACTTTAAAATAATAACATTTCGTCACACGATTTACACGCGGACTTCCTACTGTTTTGCGCGCGCGTTCCGTTAGACGCCGGGCTATTATAACATTATTGAACTGTTCGTCACATGGAGTAGTTGTTTTATTTCATTTATTTCCGTGAAATATATCAAAGACTGAAAAGAGAAAAAAAATATTACGAGGCTATTTCGTATAAACTGGTAAATGTTTGATACACACGTAGTTCGTATAATTGCAATAAGTTACCAGATGAACGTATTCATTTGAAACCGGTTAATAATGTGTTATCAGAAAACATAACGTACCAATGTAAGTGGCTTATAAAAGTTGGAAATAATTAATACATCGATTTACAAAATTAAACTAATTTAATCTACTTCTTTGAACAGCACACGTTAAGTACAGGTATTATTAAGGATTTTAGAGAAAAGAAAACATTCGTCGAACCATTTTTTATGAATCCTTGGATTGTACGTATTTTGCACGAATCACAAACTTCAGTGTTGTAGTAAGTACTATACGTTATCGTTGTAGGCGAATGTTTTGAGAAGCCTATATTTTTGATCAAGTATAAATAAATTAATTCGTACAATTATTGTACGAATTTGAGTGCATATTATATTATTGTTCTTGGATAAATTTTACTTGTTTCTCAAATTATGTATAGGATATTATTTTATCAACAGATCACAAATCCCTGCGTAATGTTATTATACAAAAATAAGAAATGATAAATATATTAAATTTCATATTCATATGTAAAATGTACCGTACATAATATTTGCAAATGATATGTTTAAGCTATATGTATATTAAATATTTATTAATTATAAAAGTTATATTTTTTTATTTGTTTTTGGTTTTTCGTAAACAGATTATAATATATTATATGATAGGAGTATTACTTAAACGATTTTTCACGGTAGTTTGTATGCCGTAAATCATTATAGAATTGAGTTACGTGTAAAAAGAAAGACCGAAAGGAATAACATGTTAGCAATCCTGGCTGCCGCAGTGGTACCGATGTATACGTACACGAGATGTTGGACTTGACGACAGTTGACAGACGCATTACACGTACTCGAAGTATCCAATATTATTTCCAATATATATATATAAATAGGTAGGTGTATTTTTTTCTTCCGACGATATACGGTGTCGTATAACGAGATATTGTCTTCCAACGCGCTGAAGGTAAACACAAAACCGCTACGCGATCAAATACAGGGTGGCCGGGACCCATCAGGCGAAACCCAATACGACTGATGTTTTTTTATTTTAATAAAATAATAATAATAATAATAATAAAAAACAACATTTTCCTTTATGTGTGCGTATTTTTTCCGCCCGTTTTCCTTTTAATTATACACGGCAAGCTGGTTTCTGTACACGCACGGTTATTTTTCCATCCATGAGTGAACCAGTCACACGGAATCATGTCTTCAAACCGAAACACATACTCACACACGCACACATACAAGAAACACTATACACTTCCCCTCCTTATTACGACCCGTTGGAAATAGTATTTTTTCTCTCTATCGTTCGATTTCTTCGCGCATATACATGTATAAAATGTAGTGTGCGCATAAATTCCAGATCGAATAACCTATACCCGTTGACCGAGCTAGTGTATTTACTAAGTTTACAGTGTATACAATTTATTTATTATGCATGAAAAAAATTATATTTGTGATAACAAATGTACATCGTCTTATATTAATTTCTCAACTCGTTCCTATGATTCATACATATATAATAACATATACGTGTATATATTTGTACGGCATATACGTGTTCGATGACTTACCTTTGTGTGCAAGATCGTCATGATGGTTAGGCGGCCAAGCCGACCCTGCTCCTATGCCATGGTGGGTGGCCAATGGTTGGTGGTGGTGATGGTGGTGATGATGATGATGATGAGGCAGCAAGCCCGATTGTTCGCTTCTGGTAATACCTTGTAACATGCTCGGATGAACTCTGGAACAGTTTACGGAAAACATCGATTTGAGCGGGATGTGAGATATCATTTTTTAGGTATAGATCAATAGGAAATAATAATTGTATACTATAATATATTACTGCATTACATGTATGTATACTTAAGAAATCGTGTCTAACAAACTTACGATTTGAAAGCTTGAAAACTTGTTTGTTGCGAATCAATGATAGGTGTATGCACGCACGTCCACAGTTATCGTGGATAATACCCGAAATGACTTTATTCTCGGGTTAAATCGAAAATGTATTTTCGATTGATATTAATCAGTTTTTAAATTTAATTTTTAATTTAACATATAGAATTAAACATAGGATAATAATATACACGAGAAGAATAAATCTACACGAAATCTATTTCATGTATAATATGCATATATAGTTTATAATTTTTTATATGAATCACACACACACACACACACACACATATATATATAACAAATTTGAATATACATAGATTCTTGTCGTGTTACACTATAAGTATATTTTGCATATTTTGTTTCCAGATATATTTTATTTCGTGGCCAATTTTGAACGATTTGTACACGAAAGATGTTTGAAAATTTAACGTTAAAAATATTTATCTACTAATAATAATGGCTGCATCATGATTGCGCAAAAAATTTGCAACACGATTCCGCCCCAATCCCTTTTTACCTGATAAAATTACAACACCATTGCCCACCATATACTTTATGTATGTATACTTTATGTTATATAATTTATGTACAACATAAAATAATGTATACAATATATACTTTCTACATATAATTTTCAAATACATGCACTCAAACTTATTAACCATTAATTCACAATTTTTCTTCCCAATTATTACAGGCTTAGGACTGTCAACAAATTATCATCGTTGGCTTGGTTAAAAATTGTTTTTTTTTCTAAATTACATGTATGCTAAATGTATATGATATGTATATAACCTGATATGGTCAATAGTCGAAATTTTTAATCAAGCCAACAATGATAATTTGTTGACAGTGTATATGAAAATTATATGTAGAAAGTATGTATTGTATACATTATTTCATGCTGTACATAAATTATTATACATAGTATGTGGTGCGCAATGGTGTTGTGATTTTATCGGGTAAAAAGAGATTGGGGCGGAATCGTAGTGCAATTTTTTCGCGCAATCGTGATGCACCGATAATAATTAAATCATTTGTTTTCATATTGTCCCAAAAAAAAAAAATTAACTAATATATTTATGGCAATGTATAATATTAAATCCTAAAAGTTATGTTATTGTGTCATTTGAATAATTCTCCGCCCCTAGCCTTTAAATGCGCTACTGAATGTGTATACAAAATGTCTCCACCGAACACACCGATGAATAACTGTACATTATAACGGAATTCATTACATTCGTCGCGTTTAAAAACTATACGCGAACGTGTATAAGAATTTACCGTGCAAACAATACAGATTTAGGGTGATTCATTCATTACGTATAGTTTCAGAGTCAATTTGCTCCGGTATACGTACGTACGTCAAACATGAATACGTATACGCGTAATAATGTACAACGTCAGAGGCCACTTGAGCGCCGCCATTTCTGCTGCAATATCCTATACAATATATATGTGTATAATATAATAATTCGACCACTTCTGAACCCCTCGAGCACACTTCGGCCGGGGACGTGCAGAATAAGAAAAACCTAATAATAACAGTATACAACATTATTAGTGTGTACACCGGGCGTGCGCGTTATAAAAGGACTCGGATGCGGTGTGTACACGCAGACAAACACACGTACGTACATATCTCGTATAACGTATAATGTATGTTTACGTGTGTATATCGACTAGCATTTCTCACATTTCAATGTACGCGCGCGCGTTCTCCAAATGGTAACGCGATACTCCACGGGGCTATTAATGAAATAATAAAAACACACACCCCCGCTTTTAAAGAACGATACACTTTCAACCCTAGTGGACGATGACACTAATTATAATCGACTGCACCACATACTATTGACTTATAGTACGCGTATGTGTGCGTGCCGCGTTTAACTACCTTTTCTTTTCGGTAAATCCTTTTTTGTTTGTTTCATTTTTTTTATCGCTCAGTTGCTTTTTTTTTAATTGCCTCTCTTTCCGTGACGATTATGCAATATACATATGCATTTGTACAATTACAGCGAAGAGATTAATAAAAAAAACGATAGTTTATTTTTTGTTCATTTGGCCTTTATAAACATGGTTAGATTTCTCTTTCGAAGCATGCGACGTAAATAATTACTCTAATATTTATACTGTACCTACAGCGTAAAAATGAATTATAAGTTAATTTAATTTGTTTAATCGTTGAGTTTACGTGTGTTTTATGACACGTTTTTTTTTAATTAATTTACGTACACACAAATTTAAACGCTAAATCGTTTAAATTATAAATTTACTCAATTAAAGAATGTTCTTGAAATCATGTAAAAATTTTTTATTGCAGCTATTGTGAGATTTACAGTTAACTTTAGACAAGAAAGGAATTTTTATTTTCGTATACTCGTATATAAAAATAATGAACCATACATTTTTTTATATAGTTAAACGTATAATACATATATCCATGGGCGTAGCGAGGGTGGGGTAGGGGGCACTTGCCCCCCCCCCCCCCCCCGAGCCTCAAACTGAATTCTATTTGTTTATACCAAACGTGTAAGTTTTACATTAAAATCAAAAATTAAATAAGATATGTTTAAAAATAGTTTAGTGGTCGAGTGTTATCTACATGTGTAATCGTTTTGACGTTTTATGTGTTATCCAATGGTCCATCTGTAGATTATTTGAATTACGAATTTAACACTATCGCTTTATGTTTTTGTCCCCCTCCCTCCTGTGATTAAAATCTTAGCTACGCCCATGCATATAACGTATCACAATACCATACATCAATATTATACTTTAAAAAAAATAAATTAAAATTTATAAAGATATTTAAATCACAATAATACGTGATATTTTTATTTTGAAAAATACTAGTAACTAGTTCTTATAATTTTAATGCTTTTTCGACAGTTCTAATAATTAATAAATATCTGTTTGGACATAAACATATTTATTACACATAAGATACCGGTCAAATAGAAATTGAAAATAAGCAGCCAAAAATGTATGATAGTTCGTTTTATCTTGAATAGGATATTCAACCGATTTGAATAAATTTAGACTGTTAATATTTTTAATTGTGATTATCAATAGTGCACAGTGCTTCAGTGTTACGTTTTATATGGATACCTTATTATCTAAAGATACGATAAGATCACTCGAGAAAGTGGCTTGTGTTCAAGGCACAAATGTTGAAAATTTATGTAAAGATATGCAAGTGAATTTCCTGTAGAAATTGAAGCGATTGTAATATTGTTTTTTAGAAATGGTTTAATTGTTAATTCACATAATTTCCACAACATTTCTTATTAGGTTATTGACGTGTTACATTATTTAGTAAATACATACACGACTTAAATTATAGAATTAATATTATTGTTTAGACTGTACTAACAGTTCTTGTATAAGATAATGTAAAGGTAATTACTTACATACTTATATTTAATTATTTTCAAATAGTAAGCTTAGGTACTAATATATTATATTATATTGATTAAAATATATTAATTATAATATACTCTATGATTCAATTATACATATAATTTGGTACCTATTTGGCATTGGATGTTACTACTATGTAATTATTTGCAACACTATATCAATTATTTCGATGATATTTGCAGGACCGTCATCAAGGGGGAAACTATTTTTTCCGAGGCCCCAGTCTAAGAAAGTTTAAAGGGCTCCATTAAAGTCCAGATTGATTATAAATACATGGCGTTAATCATTTGAGATCATTGATGTTAGTATATTATTTTTAAACTATTTTTCTTTATGAAATGTATAAATTAAATTAAATTAAATTAACTTGAAATTATATTTCTGTGTAATTAAATACACTATATTTTCAGTTATTCTAATTTCTAAACAGTTATAATTGTGAGTTATTATGATTATTGCCGGAGTTTGAAGAATGACATAATTTTATCCAAATTTACATAGAAATTTACTATCGCAAATATTGACCCCAAGAACATCCAAGTTCTTATTTTCTATAACTGTTAAAAAAATATCTAGGAATTAATTAAATTTTCATTAAATGTGGTAACAGTAATACATTTATTTTTTTATTTTATTTTTTTTATTATGTACGACTATAAGCCTCGAAATTTATGGCCATTGGCATACAAATAGTTTTAATGGTTCACTTTTTAGGATATTTAATTACATATATGCAATTTTAAAATTATAAAATATTGATAAGGTTAGTTTTGGTTATAAAAGGTGATCATGAGGCTTATATTGTCTGGGTGAAGTGTTTTTGACAGGATGTTTCATACCTCTAAGTCCCGTTTGTCCATTTAAAATGAAAGGCATTGTTGAAAAGTTATTAAAAATTTAATTTATTGTATCAATGCATTTAAATTACCTTGATTGAAGTTTGGAAAACTATATTTACCAACATTTTGCAAGCTTGGTGTGTATTTTTTTATCATACTATACTCGTATATTATTGTGATGTTTAAGAGGACCCCGAATTCATTTGCTTCGGGCCCTAAAAATCATTAGAACGACTCTGAGTGTTTGAATAATTTTATACCAGTTTTATTGAAAAATCTGTTAACGGAAATTTAATTGATTTATAAGACATTGAAATTTGATTTGAATTTTAAATATTTATGTAAATATTTGTGAAAAATCAATTAGTTTTTCATCATAATTTAGAATTCGAGCTAAAAATTTTTAGAAAACGTGGGGTACATTATAACCGTTGTTGTAAAGATATTTTAAAAATTATGTTATAATTAATAATCACATAAAGTATACTTTATACATTTACCTAAGTTGTGTTGCATTAATATTGTTTTCAGTAGGTAGCTAAACAGTATTAAAAAGTATTTTAAATTTGAAAATATTTTTAAGAACAATTTCTTTCATGATTAAAATTATTCTGGTTAACCTCAGTACTAAATATTTAGTTAAAATTAATATCCATTTCGGGTTGATAAAAGATGAATATCGACCGCCCGAAGATGATAATAAAAGTAAGCAAAATACTTATTACACAAAATTATACTTTTTGTTCATCATAAATGTGTTTCATAGCAATTAAATGGTTTTATTATCACTCAAAAAATGACCGATGTGTTGTGCCCGTAAGTGACCGTTAACCATAAAAATAGATACGTGAAAATTGGGTCAAGGAAGATACACGCGAATTAAATCATATCGATCTGTATAAAATATTATTGGTAGTCTTCTTCGACATGGTATATTTTTGTTAAACAACATATTTATTCAATTTTTCGACAGTGGTTGAGTGGTGGGAATTACCTTCCATTGCATCCACCACTGTATACCACGAAGAAGGGATTACATGATCTTTAAATATGAATGAAGCTTTGGGAATGGCTGCAGATCGAATATTATAATACACACCTTTCCATTTGCTTTATACTTATACTCGGTACGAGTCAGATTTCAATGTAAGTATAAACGTCGTACGTCAGCGTGAATTCAATTTCAGACAATGTCCCGACATCAAGGCAGAGGTTCGATTCGTAAGCTTACGCGAGCATATTTACGTATTGTTATGATAAAATCGGTTCGAAAATGAGTAGGCGACTAAGACTTGAACGAGAGAAGATCTCATCGCGTACCAATCGCGAGTGTATTATAGTAACATTATGTACTTACGTGATACGTGGTCCGTGAAGAATTGCACGATGTATTATCCGATCCGAGATGACGAACGTGCGTGTACTGCGCGGATGTATTGCGATACAGTAGGAGCCTTTTCTTCGTGTCGTAAGTCGCGTGCGTAGTACGTATTGTATAAAACGACTTGAGAATAATATTGTTGATCACACAAGATTCGCGATGTACGTTCTAGAAAACGGAAAAAACCGGAGAGTATAAATCGAATAAATAACCGACCGGAGACGTCGAGACCCGCGGTTGTGTGTCGCGAGCGAAACACCGATGCGTGTGCCGTTAATGTGCCGTACGACGCGCGCGCGTGATGTGCGTGTGTCGAGTGGCCGCGCGGTTCGGTAACGTGTGTGTGCCGCGACCGAAGGGACCGCGTCGTGTTCCGCCTGGTTCCCGCGCGCGACGTATATACCGCGACCGTGGTGCCGCCGGTGGCCACGGTGCCGTTGCCGTGGTGGTGGGGAGCAGCGCCCCCGGTAGGTGTACGCGGGTAAAGTATTTCTCGGGGACGGTCGGAACGCGGCGGGGGGTGGGACCGGAGCGCCGCCCGTCCGCCAATCGCGTGCCGGCGCCCAGATCGATATAGAACGCTGCGCTCATTCGTCCGGAAGATATGTTCCATCCGCCGGGCGCCGACGCACGCGCACGCACGCGCTCCCGTGTTCCGACACGAGCACACGCGCTCACACTCGCGCACACGCTGCAGATCGACGCGCTCGTCCGTCCTACACCGCGGCCGCAGCCGTCGCCTCCGCTATCGTAGGTACCACCCTCCTCCCTGGGTCGCCCCTTCGTCACACGATGGCATTATTATTTTTATAATAATAATAATAATAATAATCATTTTTAACTCCGCGCGACGTTCCGTACCACCTACGTCCTACCCCTTCGATGATTTTTAATTTTTTTCCCTCCCTGTTCGTCCGTACTACCACTATATATCCACTACTACTCCACTCCTCCGAAGACGAGCCGCTTGCTCTCCGCGATTTACATTATTATTATTAATATTATAACTATACGCGCGTTCTGCCGTAACGTCCGTTTGTTTTTGCCTTCAGTATAGGTATACCTTTTAACACATACTAGTAGTCCACGTCGCTGAGCTTGTATTTGAATTTTGTTTTTTACTTTTTTATTTGTTGTTGTTCTCGTCCTTTAGGTTCTCCCACCTGCAGCTCCTATTCACACACAACCCTCTCGCATCACTGCCCACCGCCCGAAGCTCATGACAAGTCTGTGTGTGAGCAACGTGTAAACGAGCTTGTATTAGCGTCTAATCTTGTACCACCATGTAGTATAATGGTCTAAAAGATAAGTTAAGGCTTCAAAACTTTCACAAAAATATTTGTGCGATTTTGTTGTTTTTAGCAAACATTCATACGTTTTATTATTCTTATGTAATAGCTATTAAAGCCTAAACTTATGCACCCATACAACAGTGTCATCCCAATGCACGTGGACCCTAATGGCCCAGGCTGGGGACATCGGAATTTTAAGGGCCTTAAATTTAATAAAATTACATTACATTTACAAAATATCATTAACAATTGTTAATTGTTAATATTAATATTTTAATAAATTTAAATTAGCTTTTATAAAAATAATGAAATTTTATCATTAAAAAGAAAAAACTTATATTTTCATCGGTAATAATATGGGTTTAAATAAATCGTGACAAGTTTTGAATGAAAAAATATGGAAAATATATTGGTTTACTATCTCTTTTATCAACTGGGTCTCCACTGAAAGTGACAGTAGAAGTACATTAAAAAAAAAAAAAAAACAAAAAAAAGTTTTGTAAAGCGATAGAATTCGTGGTTGGTCATATGTAAATCAAATTTGATGTAATTTATTTTTTATATATCTTTAGTTTTGGTTATATATTTAGGCTAAAAATATATTTATAAAAGAAAAAAAAATAATAAACTGTTCGTTTATAGCATTTGTTTTCGCACGATTGTTTTGAATGAAAAAAAAGATGTATCCAATTTGGCTTTTATAAGTAAGAGATTTAACAAGGGAAGAATAAAAGGATTGTTATAACTAATGCAATAAATTTGAAAATTCTATTAAAAATGCTCACTAAATCTAACCTAATCCTAGCGCTGCGGTCGTCGTATTGGTATACCAATAGGTATACGTATTCAGGTACTTTGTGGTAGTTTTAAATCGCCGAAAATAGTATATAAAATATATAGTTTTATTTATATCATGTATATATGCTCATTATAAATAATATAGTAAAATGTATGAAATGTACACATAATACAACAAAAACGTATATTTTTATCTGGATATATTTTGAGGTACCCGTACATGAGTATCTGGTTACTCTTCCTGCACTGTATGAAAAAATCGATTATATATACAGGTTTTAGGTAATGAGAATTTGAGACAGAGCTGGTTTTTTTTTTAATTGTACAAGAGGTGGGGGGGGGCACTAAGGATAAAGTTTTTAAATTTTAGTACAATGATAAATGGTGGTCGGATATGAAAAACGATTCCATTTAGTAAAAGGTTGCGGAGAAATTGATGTTTTATTGAAACGAGTGTAATTCAAACTTTAAACGATTTTGAAACAAAGTTGTTTTTAACTATACTAATGTTCTGGAGATTTTCGACTTAAGTTTGAAAAGCATATATAAATAAGTTTATATTGTCACATCTTTAAAAATCGTAAAAATTCCATAGTATTTACATTTTAAAAATTGTAAATAAGTTTTTAGTAAACATTATATAATATAGTATATATAGTTCCGAAATTAGTTTAAAAAGCTAATTATACTTATTTTATGGACAACTATCGAAAATTGTTTGTGGGGTTTTATATTATTCAAGTTATACCAATATTCAAATTCAAATTTCATAAAAAACATGAAAGTTATTCGATTGCAATAGAACTAAAATAGTATGCAGGTTTAAATTTTCATTTTTTATCGGTGCGTATAAATCTTACTATCTTAATATTTCCGGTACAAAAAATTAGGTAAATTACATTTAATATATTTAATACAATTTGGGTAAAATTGGTTATTTATGAAATTATACAAAAATAGTTTTGAAGGTAATTAATTGTTTTTGAAAATAAGAACAATAGGTATATTTAATCACTGAATACATAAATTTTCTCCGAAAATGTTTTTCAAAAGTACTTAAATTGATAAAAAAAATTGTTTTAATAATTGCATAATAATAAGTACCGATCATATATGGTGATATATTATATATACCATTTTTCAATCATATTAAATAGCTGTCAGTTCACTGGATTTGTATTTAGTTCATTGAATGTATTGTAATTTTTATACAATCAGCTTTCATTTTGTAGTTAATATAATATTTAAATAAAGTGTATATTAATACTCATAATAATTAAAATGTTATAATGTAATGACTGACACATATTTTACATTAATTAAATATAATTTTTTCAAGCTATATTTATATTGGTGACGTAAAAACCGAATGAGTCGTCTTGATGTTATAAGCACTTCAAGATTTTCATAGTGATTCTTCTGTAACAGATGGTGTTTTCACTGAAGCTCAACAATAATTGTTCAAAAGATTAATATGTCTTAGCTTAAATAGTATTTAACTTGATATAGATTAAATAATATTACGACAACTGGTACATAATTTATAATGAACACGACGAAGAATTATTGTCGAAATATCAGATTTGAAATTATAGTCGTTCTGTAATCGTAATAAATAAAAATTTTTTTTTTTTTTAATATTCGTATTATCTTCAAATCTAGGTAAGCGTTGATTTATGCGAACAACTAATTTCATGATAGTAGATATTAGCTTCCATTGAATAAAAAAAATTATTAATCTTGTTATTATTTTACATTTAAAATAATTTACTACCGATCGGTAAACGTAAATTAATACCATACTATTTATCAATAAAATACAGAGAGCTGTTTATTTAAAATAATATATGAGGTCCAATTGCGTAATCGAGGGATTACGAGTATGGACTCGTACGTTAAAACTTCAGATGTACAAACACATCGTTCTTAACATCTTTAGATATTTTACATATTTTATTCAATTATTATAAGATGATTCACAAAATACTAATTCGTTTGAAATACAAAAATACATAGAAGAAAAGTACCTGTGCATATTATCAACTTGATAAATTAAACGATCGAAATTAACTAAATCTTAATTACCTATAGATATGTGAATTCAATTTTTTAAACACTGGACATCAATAATATTATGCAGAATACGAGTGATCGAAACCCTTGATTTTCTGTCCCGCACAACGTCGGCCGAAATCAAGGAGATACCTGAATAACACACATACGTATCCCGATACTTATATGCAACGTACAGGGTCGCGTATGATATTGTTATGGTTATTTATTGTTGTACGTACAACTAGATCGGTGTGCGATTTTACACAGGTCGCGTCGCCGCGACGACACGTCTTGTTTTGCAGTCGTTTCTTCCCTGCCGCTGCGCAGACATGTCTCTTTTGAAGTACCGCGCGCGCGAACACCCTATACGAGAGCAATATATGTATACATATGTATATAAATTACAAGTAGCGAAATCGAATATATTGTTCGGTGTTATGTGTACGCATGTATAATATATATGATCCACGCATCTTACACACGCCGGTGTTGCACACCGTGTTCTTGACCAGCTGATAATATTAATATGTGCGTATACGCATTTTATCGTTTATCAAACGGCTCCGAGTCGTTTTCATTTATTGCGGACACGCATTATGATGCTGCCAGTTTATAATACCTACGCACGCACACACACACACACACATACACGCACGTAATATACGTATGTATGTATTATACACACCCCCGGCCAGGACATCTGTTCTCTTGTGCGTGTGTGTGCGACGAGCGTTCTGGCGCGCGGCGATTATAATATATTGACTATTACTCAAATATCTGCCGTGCGCGAGCGAAAGAATAACCGCTGCAGCAGCAGACGACGACGACGAAGGCGATATATAATAAAAATAAAAATTTTGTCTTTGAAAACGTTATCCCCCCCATCCACTCCCTTTAGGAGGAATCATTGTGGACCAGGAGAATGTACTGTGCGTAGTATAACCTTCTTGACTTTTAGCAATACTTTATATATATATATATATATATGTTATATATACACGATAACCAGGGATTCGAGAGAGCCTATATTGCGCCGACATATACGTGACAATAGGACCCTCTCCCTGACGAACATGTACTTCTCGTGTTGTACAAGGAGTGAAGTGAAAAAAAACATCCACACACATACGTCGCGCACCACTCACATCATAAGTCTTTTGAACACTTTTTCTGGACAAATATATACGTAGTATTTGCGTGTGTGCGTGCGCGTATTCATTGTTAAACGTCAATAATGTTTTACA